CCTGGTCTAGACATAACATATTATAAGAATAATAGTGATTCCTTAAATGTATTGTCAGGTTTTGGAGACATAGAAAAAATACCAATGTTTCTGGAGGATATGTCAGATATTTTTTCCCCGAAACACTTTGAGATTTTATTACTGACTGAACAGACTGTGGGAACATTAGTAATTCTCCAAGATGAAATTTGATTCCATTTTTGTGGTACAATTTGAGGCTGGTATGTTCATAGGTAACATCAAACAACCTTTACATGTTTACTGGCAGACAATATTATCAGATTTAGGTCAAAACTGAACAAAACTAAGCAACATAGTGTAGGGTAACAGATGCTGTTCAGAATATGTGTTATAGAGTAACGGATGCTGGTCACAATATATGTTGTAGGTAACGGATGCTGGACAAAATATGTGTTATAGGGTAGCGGATGCTGGTCACAATATATGTTATAGGGTAACAAATGCTGTTCACAATATATGTTATAGGGTAATGGATGCTGGTCACAATAGTGTGTTATAGAGTAACGGATGCTGGTCACAATATATGTTGTAGGGTAACGGATGCTGGTCACAATATAGGTTATAGGGTAACAGATACTGGTCACAATATGTGTTATAGGATAACATATGCTGGTCACAATATATGCTATAGGGTAACAGTGGATGGTCAAAATATGTGTTATAGGGTAAAGTATGCTGGTAACAATATGTGTTATAGAGTAACAGATGCTGGTCACAATATATGTTGTAGGGTAACGGATGCCGTTCACAATATATGTTACAGGGTAACGGATGCTGGTCACAATATAGGTTATAGGGTAACGGATACTGGTCACAATATATGTTATAGGGTAACAAATGTTGTTCACAATATATGTTATAGGGTAATGGATGCTGGTCACAATAGTGTGTTATAGAGTAACGGATGCTGGTCACAATATATGTTGTAGGGTAACGGATGCTGGTCACAATATAGGTTATAGGGTAACATATGCTGGTCACAATATATGCTATAGGGTAACAGTGGATGGTCAAAATATGTGTTATAGGGTAACGAATACTGGTCACAATATGTGTTTTAGGGTTACGGATGCTGGTCACAATATATGTTATAGGGTAACGGATACTAGTCACAATATGTGTTATAGGGTAACGGATGCTGGTCACAATATATGTTAGAGGGTAACAGATGCTGGTCACAATTAAGATTGTCGAATAATATCGTAACAATGTTTGCTTATATTTGAAGTCCTCTGGTTTCGCCGAGGAACATTGCAACAAAGCTTGTTTGCCGGTATTTGCCCGCTCTCGGTCACATACGTTTCCCCACTCATACTCAGTTACGCAAAGAAAAATAGTTCTTTGAATATATACAACATAATCTAGAAATATGTCAACATAAATTCATTCTCTGAACAAATTTACAAACAATATTTGGGATAAATCATATCTTAAAAATAGGTTACAGGAAGTTGAACAAACATATAAACATGACCCCGATGCACCGAGGCGAGGTCAATCTTCAAGCGCGGATTTATATATGACGTCACATAAAATTGTAAAGAGGTGCATTTCGAGTCGAACGGGAGCATGAGGATGAAATTTATACTTACTGATGTTGAAAAATACGTTTATGGAGCATTTTTGGAAAACACAACGACGCATGAACCCCCTCATGGCACTAGCAAATTGGGAATATCACCGATTTATGAATGTGTTGCTTGTGTTTGGATAATCGCAAACCAATTCGGACGATGCAGAATGGACTGGTGGGGATTGAACACAGTGCTTTGAAACTTGTGTGTTTTGTGTTGATTTTCAACGTCAGGGTGTGTTATGTGAGTTGATCGTAAACACCGATCGGTAATTTGTGGGAAACCCCGAAAAGTAGTTCCGGCAAAAGTTCATACAATCAATTTCACAAAACATTTTTCACATCTTGAGAATTTTTTTGGTCTGTTCACAGGTGTGTTAACTCCAAACTCAGATCACGTGACTACCCCTTCAGCCAATCAGCATGAAAGAAACAGTGTAAACTTTGAAGTATGAAATTATTATATGCTATAGGGAAACGGATGCTGGTCACAACATGTGTTATAGGGTAATGGAGGCTGGTCACAATATGTGTTATAGGGTAACGGATGCTGGTCAGAACATGTGTTATAGGGTAATGGATGCTGGTCAGAATATATGCTATAGGGTAACGGTTGCTGGTCACAATATATGCTATAGGATAACTGATGCTGTTCACAATATGTGTTAGAGGGTAACGAATACTGGTCACAATATATGTTATAGGGCAACGGATGCTGTTCACAATATATGTTGAAGGGTAACGGATGCTGGTCACAATATGTGTTATAGGGAAACGGATGCTGTTCACAATATGTGTTATAGGGTAACAGATGCTGGTCACAATATATGTTGAAGGGTAACGGATGCTGGTCACAATATATGTTGAAGGGTAACGGATGCTGGTAACAATATGTGTTATAGGGTAATGGATGCTGGTCACTTTTAAGTTATCGGCTAACAGATGCTGGTCACAATATATGTTATAGGGTAACTGATACTAGTCACAATATATGTTATAGGGTAACTGATACTAGTCACAATATATGTTATAGGGTAACTGATACTAGTCACAATATATGTTATAGGGTAATGGATCCTTCTAACTATATTGTATTGGGTAACGGATATAGGCTACTGGGCACACAGTTGTTTATTAGTCACCATATTTAAATTTGTTGTAGGCTAATGTCCGCTCATACCGAGAGACAATATATTCACTTTGCTGGTTTACTGGTCAATATATATGCTGTAAGCTGACGTCTGTCACCCTGTTTACTGATCAGTATATAGGTTGTAGGCTAGCCTCTGTCACCTTGTGTACTGATCAGTATATAAGCTGTAAGCTAACGTCAGTCACCTTGTTTACTGATCAGTATATAGGTTGTAGGCTAGCGTCCGTTACCTTGTTTACTGATCAATATATAGGTTGTAGGCTAACGTCTGTCACCTTGTTTACTGGTCAGTATATAGTTTGTAATCTAACGTATGTTAAGCTTGTTTACTGATCAGTATATAGGTTTTAGGCTAACGGCTGTCAGCTTATTACTGGTCAGTTTATAGTTTGTAGGCTAACGCCTGTCACCTTGTTTACTGATCAGTATATATGTTGTTGATTAACTGCTGTCACCTTGTTTACTGATCAGTGTATAGGTTGTAGGCTTACGTATGTAAAGTTTGTTTACTGATCAGTATACAGGTTGTAGACTAACAGCTCTCACCTTGTTTACTGATCAGTATATATGTTGTAGGCTAACTTCTTTCACCTTGTTTACTGATCAATATATAGGTTGTAGGCTAACGTATGTCACCTTGTTTACTGATCAGTATATAGGTTGTAGGATAACGTATGTAACGTTTGTTTACTGATCAGTATATAGGTTGTAGACTAACAGCTCTTACCTTGTTTACTGATCAGTATATAGGTTGTAGGCTCACTTTTTTCACCTTGTTTACTGATCAATATATACGTTGTAGGCAAACGTCTGTCACCTTGTGAAACTTGCTTAATGATCAGTATATAGGTTGTAGGCTAATGGCTGTCACCTTGTATAGTGATCAGTATATAACTTGTAGGCTAACGTCTGTCACCTTGTTTACTGATCAGTATATAGGTCGTAGGCTAACGTCTGCCTCCTTGTTTCTGATCAATATATAGGTTGTAGGCTAACGTACGTAGACCTTGTTTACTGACCTTGTTAACTGGTCAGTACCTAGGTTGCAAGCCATTTTGACAACTGAACAAATTATATGTCGTATGATTATTCCAGTGGGGAGCCTAGGATTTGTCTGAAAAGAAATTGTCCCAGACAAATTTTGAAAATAGTTATTGTTTCAGGCAGTTGGAAAAAAGAAAGAAATTGTCTGCCACAAAAATTACATTGCTGCAATTTTTTTAGAAAAAATAGTATTTAGGCTCACAGTTTAAGTTAAAAAAATATGTCTGATTTTACAGCTGTAGCTGAAAAAATATCTTGTCTCCAAACAAATTCCAAGCTGAATTATTTAAAAGTGTTTAAGGTTCTGAACTCTCCGACACTAGGGCAATTTTGGCGCGCATACGTTGTCCACTGCTAATGAAAATACAGGCGACAAAACCATGTCTATAATCACAATAAAGCTCTGACCAAAGAAGAATCAGCTGCACGTAGACGACTATTCCGTAAATATGTGTTATAAATCACTATTAATTAGTGATGACACCAAGTGTTCGTCAAATGGTGAGCCTATCCTTCCCCTGCGGTGGCACCCGTCACAAACACATGCAAAGGCAAGTCAAATGTTCACTTGAACAAACCAGGGAACATTTGGAAATGCCCTCCACCGTGAAACCATAAAAAAACGTTGAATGCAATACTAAGACCTTGAATGTTGTAACTCTTTTAGCAAGACTCGCATGTACAATTGTACCTCAAATATGAAATGTTGACGCCAAAGGCTAGAATATTGCTTGATATATATTGAAAACATGAAGACTTCATTCACTCGAGCCATACAGAATTGTGGAGATAGTTTTTGTCACTCTTTATGCATAGATCTAAACATAAAACAGATGAGGCTGTATCACTGGTCTCTATTACGGCTAGTTCAGGTGGGAACATGAGAGCAAGGGAATTGGCTAATTGGCAATTAATGAACAATGCCATAGATATACCTAAAGGTTCGAGTAAACTTTTCTATAAGGACGTTCAGCATTTCGCATTCTGTTTTTCTCAGTAAACTTCAGATGGCATTTTCGTTGTTGGTTCTAGACTGTAATTTGCAGTATTGATCTCGCATGTAACATGTACAGTGGTAACGGTATCTGTCACATGGCGTCCATATACATAAGTCAACAGGTCTACCTTGGTTGTGTCGATCAGCAGTCGTGCAGTCGTACCCAGCTATGTGTGGTCGGTAGTTGGTGCATCTTCTGTGCAGACTTGAAGATGACTTCACTGTGTTCAGGGGTGTTTCGGGAGCTGTTCCTGGTATCAGCAGCTGTTCACTCAATGGTAGGACTGGTAACATCCAGCAGGAAACAAAGTGAAGTTCAGACAACAGAGAAGGAGACGGAGCGTTCTTCTACTATCAGGAACATTGGCATCAAACTCTGCCAAGTAAGATGTGTTGAAACTGGCGGCTGTTTGAGATACGAATACAGTTATGAAACGTTAACTTGTCGTCTACGACTTGGTGAATCGAAGCCAATTGAGAAGAATGAAGGATTTATTGTTCTTCAAAAGAATCATTCACGTGTAAGTTGATTTTATCTGTAAATATGTTTACCCAATTTAAGAATGTAAGTGATTGTACTTATTTGGTTTAATTCCATTCCAGAAATTATTTCCTTATGTAATTACATCATATTGAAGAAAAAGCATTAAGTACATGAACAAGTATTCTGTATTGGTCTGCTAGGTTTGAACTCAATAAACGTTAGGTGAATTAAAAGTAAATTACTGTCAAATATCAAGAGTGAATGAGATGTGTTTTACGCCGCATTCATATCACAAATCGAGGAAACCAGAAATGATCTTCACACATTGTACTGGGTCTACAGCGAACACACATTTTGACCCTAACGCTACCCAACCAGCCACTTTATATATATATATATATACTAACGGAAAAATTATACCGGCAGCCAATTAGTTACAGAGGGGTATCAAGTCCGAAACCAAGAAATTGTCAGATGTAGATCCTAAAAAAATGTATTACTATCCAACAGATTGAGAGTTTTTAACTATTAAGAACCACACCGTTTATTTCAAATTACCTCCTATTTCCAAAGAAGAAGAAAAACAATATACCCGAGTAAGGCTTTTCAAAGTATCGATATAACTTCACCCAATCTTAGCGAGATTATTGGGTTTTGTGACAAAGTCCGGTGAACACGTTACACGATAAAAAGCAGCCAGCTACCTTACCCCTACATACCCTTAAAGATCAAACATTCCATAACCTGTACCTGTACAGCGACATTATCGAGTTTCAAATTGTTGGGAACGCATTACTCGCTCACGTACCCGTTAGTAAAGCTATGTTGGACGATTGTGTCTCCGACAAAGACTATAACCCTATACTGTATGTACCATTACGATACGAAACTGTCCGAAGTATTAGTATCTATATTAAAGACGATGCGGGCAAAGGTGTTATTTCAAATCGGACGGTCAATGGTTAAACTACACTTTCGAAAGAGAAGTACATAATGCTTCATCCATATCGTAGAAAGAGATGTTCTCGACTTCAGTTTGGTGAGGGCGTACCCGTTTATACGGGACGATATTATCAAGCGAGCGGAGGATTTGGGAACATACTCGGTGCCTTCGGGAGAATTGCGTTACCGATGATAAAATCGATAGGAAAGAGTATGCTCAGAAGTGGAGAAGAAATTATCTAATGTCGTTCAAAATGTGGTGGAGGACGTTGTAAGTCCGCGGACAGGATTTAAGAGAAGAGCTTGGGAATTTTTGTCAGAAGGCGTTCGATCCGTGAACGGGTCAATACATGCCCCGCCGGCTAAAATACGCAGACAGAGGAAGAGAAATAAAGCCCGTAGACGATGATTCGTACCGAGGCTATAGAATGTGCAAAGTCTGAATTAGATTTATTTTCAGTATCGGGTGTTATGACAAGCATGACCGATGATCAATGGGTGCGATATACCCCGACAACCTCTACAATCGGGTCTGGACCCATACGATTTGATATCCTAAATCCCGTTAATAGTTATATCGATTTAGCGCAGTGTTATTTGCAAATTGTTGTCAAAGTAACTAAAAGTAATGGCGACAATACAAACCCAATAGCATCGGGACAAGATAATTATATACCTCCGGACCACGTCGCGCCTATATATAATTCCCTTCACAGTTTTTTCCGCGATGTAAAGGGTACAACTCGGTCACAATCAGCATGAGGTCACGCCCAATCTCGGTACTTACGCCTGCCGTATTTATCTCGAATCGCTTCTGTCCTTCGACGAATAATCTAAACAAGAATCATGTCAAGGATGGCATATGGACGAAGCCAAAAAATTTGATGATCTCATTATGGACAATGCTCGCAGCAACTCGGGGACGAAAAAACGGTGGCAATCAATAGTTCCCATGCGTGAAGTAGAATACGTGTCAAGACTTAATTGCGATATATGTTTACAACGTCGTTATCTCATAGACGATGTTGATATAAAACTAGAACTAATTGGTTCATCGGATCAGTTTTGGTTGATGTACGCCAATGATGGCACTACTTATAAAAGTGAGATCGTCAGAGCAGAATTTTACGTCAGAGAAGTGGAGGTTTCGCTACGAATAAGAGAACTACAAAGTAAAGCTTTACAGAAAGGGATAACTGCAAAATACCCTATTACGCGAGTCAAGACAACTGTTCACAATCTACCAACGGGTGTAAGAGATTGTCATAATCAAGCTATTGTCAATGGAGATCTCCCGAAACGTATGGTCATTGGTTTGGTGCAAAATAATGCGTATGCCAGTACATGCCTTTTGAACCGTTTCAAATTTGGTCATCAGAGTTTGACAAATCTAAACGTAAAATTGAATGGTCAAGAGGTACACGGTAAATCTATCCACGTAGATTACGGCGACGACTCGTCCAGATTGTACAAAACTTGCTTAGACCTGTTTCGTAATGGCGGTGGACTGTGGCGAAATGGATTACACGGTATAACACCCGAACCCGCGGTTTTTCGCTGTACATTATCGATTTAAGTAATGATCTAGGCGCGAATGAAGGACATCACTACCCTAAACAATCGGGCAAAGTAGGAATTGAACTGTACTTTTCACAACCGCTAGCTCACCCTTTGACCATGATTACCTATTTCGAAATGAATAACTGTATTGAAGTGGACGCGTACCGTAACGTTATGATGACGTAAAGATGTTGTACACCTCGTATATAGAGGCTTTCGTGCGAGGCGACTACGAGTACAAGGACATCTACAAACGCACATTACCTTGGGATTATTTACTACTTACGCATAAACGAGAGACTTTACCGGCAGCCTATATCGTGAACACTGCGCCAGCTTCGCATTTGGGATTACACTGGATTTGCTTCTACGTACCGAATAAGGATACCGAAGAATGTTTTGCTTCATTCGGTTTGAATAATTCGCTTATGTATGCTGAATTCAATAGTTTTAAATATCTATACGGTAGAGGCGTGTACAAATAGTCTAGTAGAAAGCTTCAATATTACGATAGCGTTGTTTGCGGTTACTATTGTCTGTATTTTCTATATTATCGGTGTCAACACAACTCGATGAGTCGCATTTTAAACAGTTTCACTGATTATTGTACAATAAACGATGATATCGTACACTCTTGGTATTGGATAAAAAGCGTTAAAAACGTATATGCTACTAATTTGATGTGTATTCGGATATTAAAGCGACGTCTGGCTTTAGGTTAAACAGCTGATAATAAGTATGACGTATTCGTTCATTCAATGTAATTGGGTGTGAATAGCTCCTGTCAACTGGTCGGTCAGACGTATTCAGCGTCTGGGACCCGTAATAACCAATATCGGGTGACTTACCGGTTATCAACGCCGATGCGGTCAGCGCCAAATTCGCTCACGCATGGTGCCATAACTATTGTTTAGAAGTGTCAGTTTCAAATTGTTAGCACCTATCGAGGGTAACTGAAACGGTAACATATTTCATAATACAAAAACCTGCTTAAATACGACATTCGAAAGCTCAAGTATAGAAGACAGTATCTATCCACGACATATTATACGTAGTCTCGCCTCTTATAGAAGGTCTACACTTTCCAGTAACGTTAAACAATCCGAGTTCAGTCTTTATCAAAGGTAGCAATTGTAGCATTGTTCTCCATAATTCCAAAGTCATTGCTATTCCTTTAATGGTCGCCTTACCGGCCAGAAACATTCTCGGGTCCAAAACTGTACGGTTTTCAACTCGACATACGTTTAGTCTGGTCACTGTCGACAATTTGAACTGATTAACCGAACATGTTTCGCAACGGGTGTTCAGACTTTTATAGCCTCAGATCTGGGTAGATATGTTAATGTCTGGAAAATAGCATTAGAGGATTCGATCGTCGGATTATTAGTTGTCCTTGTGATCCATTCGGCTACTGAAGAACCGGTTACATCATAACTTATAATCAGAATACGTTTCTTTCCTTTAATGGTCAAATTTCTTCCCAACAATCCTCAGAAATCAGCCAATGAGAGGACAGCAATTAAAAAACTGGCATACTACTGACCTGTTCAGATTAAATCTTGACCCATCAGTATACTGTCCCAGTATTGTATTCTGAACCTCAGATGTTGTCTACACCAAGCTAGGCGTGGCTGACGGTGACGTATGATCAATCTTGGGCGTATCAACAACTTGCCTACGGTTTTGCCACTAACTGGGCTCAGTAACTGTCTGAGCTGTTAATGTGGCAGTTTGGCATCGATTCCATAGATGCACCAACCGAATACGGTTGTCTTGTGGACGTGACAACGTCAAGTGAAAATTAATGCATGTGTGGCAGGTACCACTGGTGGGTCAGGATACCCTCATCTTCTTACTTCATCACTATATCATAGTTATTCATAAACACATGTTCATGAACACATGTTCCTAAACACATGTTCATGAACACATGTTAATAAACAAATGTTCATAAACACATTATCATGCTTTACGCAGAGATTTCATATGAATATGGAACGGGTTTTGTCGCTTTTATTATTATTCAACTAGGAAAAAAAGACCGATGCTTCTCAAGAACTGACAGAGAAATTAATCGACTCAGTGTGTTATTTGTGAGGAGAAATTCGCGAACACACAGTTGACAGTTTGCTTCTGTTTAAAGGTACCCGCTGGTCCCTGCACAGACATGTCTTGCAGTCTCGGTTCTAGGTGTATAGAGAGTCGATCTGGTAAAGCTGTCTGTGTAAAAGGTAATAGCCTTCCAGTTATCTTTTTTTCTTTTTTTTTTTTGGGGGGGGGGGGGGGGGGGGGGGTTACAAGTACTGTTTTACTTAAGGGTTTTAGGGCAAATACTTGTACGTCTAGAAAAAGAAACAATACCTCCCAAGAAATATTTCCAATGACCAATTAGAATGTTAGACTGTAAGATAACGGAACTATCTATTGAATTAACCTTGATTTCCAACTTTCTTAAGTTATATTTGAGATGCCAAAAATTATGTTGGGATATGACGAGACTGAGTAATTTATATGTTTATGTAAAGCAGTTTTTGAAAAAGCAATTATTTGTTCAATTCTTCATGAAATAAATGTGCTTTAGAATGTTAACATAAATAGTACCAGTACTTCTTCACTAGCTGTGGTGAAACAAATATCAATAAACTTATTTCCAGATAGGGAGAAGTTCTATCCTTCGAGCTCTCAACAGCAGAAACGAGATCAGAAGAGAAAATCTGGAGACAACATACTCCATGAAGCCTGCAGGGAGGGTGATGTTAGCCGAGTGCAATACATCTTAACTGAAGGTCATGTTGACCTCAACAGTAGAGAGAAGGAGCACGGGATGACACCATTGATGTTGGCAGCACGTTGGGGAGAAACAGAGGTGTTTGACTTAGTCATGAGTAAAGGAGGCAATGCTTCACTTGTGGATATAAATGGTGATAACATCCTACATTTGGCCTGTCTTGGAGGACATGTGGAGATGGTGAGGTACATCGCCTCACAGAAGATTGTGGACATCAACAGTAGAGGAGTATACGGGAGGACACCACTGATGTTTGCAGCAATTAAGGGTCATAGAGGCGTGTTTGACTTAGTCGTGAGTACTGGAGGCAATGCTTCACTTGTGGATACAAATGGTGATAACATCCTACATTTGGCCTGTCTTGGAGGACATGTGGAGATGGTGAAGTACATCCTCTCACAGAAGATAGTGGACATCAACTGTAGAGGAATGGTTGGGAGGACACCATTGATGATGGCCGCAGGGATGGGACATAAAAGAGTGTTTGACTTGCTTGTTAGTAAAGGAGGTGATGTGTCTGCAGTTGATGTTAATGGTGGCACGATCCTGCACATGCCCTGTTTCAGTGGCCACATTGAAATGGTGAAGCATATTCTTTCTCAAGATATTGTAGATATTCACGCCAAGGACAAGGATGGGGATACGGCAGCGATGATAGCAAAACGTGGAAAGCACATGAAAGTGTACGACCTCATTATTTCGCAGGGCTGATTTGGAAACAAGCTGATGTTATATACAAACTGGCAGTCACTATAATTAATACGATTATTTCTTTGTTGAAAGTATTTCTTTCAATCTAGAAACGCATTCAAGTAAATTACTCAACATCATTGACACTTATTTCAAGAAAACTGTTTGAACCTTCAGAAAAAGTACAGACTAATTATGACCACTCATAGACTAATACCATGCATCAACTTCAAAACAAACCAATACAAACATTAACACATATGTTACATAGTGTGCACGTGTTACCCTTCATCAACACATGTGTTACATAGTGTCGACGTGTTACCCTTACAGAAACACATATGTTACACAGTGCGTACGCATTACACTACATCAACACATATGTTACATAGTGTGCACGTGTGATCCTACATCAACACATATGTTACATAGTGTGCACGTGTGATCCTACATCAACACATATGTTACATAGTGTGCACGTGTGATCCTACATCAACACATATGTTACATAGTGTGCACGTGTGATCCTACATCAACACATATGTTACATAGTGTGCACGTGTGATCCTACATCAACACATATGTTACATAGTGTGCACGTGTGATCCTACAACAACACATATGTTTCACAGTGGACACGAGTTACCCAACATCAGCACATATTTTACATACTGAACATTTGTTACTCTTACAACAACACATATGTCACATGGTGTACAGGTGTTACCCTTTCAGCAACACATGTTACACAGTGTAAACGTGCTACCCCTACATCAACACATATGTAACATAGTGTGAACGTGTAACCCTACATCAACACACGTTATATATTGTAAACGTGCTATCCCAACATCTACACGTTACATAATGTGCACGTGTTACCCTACATGGGCACTTGTTACATAGTGTGCACGTGTTACCCTATATCAACACACACGTTACATACTGTAAGCGTACTATACCCACATAAACATATGTTACATAGTGTACATGTGGTACCCTTAAAGCAACCCATTTTATAAAGTGTACACGTACTATCCCTATATCAACACATATGATACATAGAGTACACGTGTTACCCAACATTAGCACATATGTTACATAGTGTACACCTGTTGCCCTTACAACAACAAATATGTTACATTGTGTGCATGTGTTGCCCAAAATTAGCACATTTGTTACTTAAGGATTGACTGTTTATTTTTTCGGTTCATTGAGGTATGAATAAAAAATCGATGTGGAAACTGTATGAAAGCTTGCAGATCGGGTTTTCGATTCATACCTGAATGAACCGAAATAAAGTACACAGTCAATGCTTATAATTAAATTCGACAACGTAAAACATAATGTGCACGTGTTACCCTACATCAACATATGTTACATAGTGTTCTGGTGTTGCCTTCATCAATACATATTACATAGTGTCTACGTGTGACCCTCCATTAACACATATGTTACATAGTGTGCACGTGTTACCCTTCATCAGCACATGTGTTACATAGTGTGCACGTGTTACCCTTACTGCAATACATATGTTACATAGTGTGCACGTGTTACCATATATCAACACATATGTTACATAGTGTTCATGTGTTATCATACATCAACACAAGTTACATAGTGTGCTCGTGTTGTCTACATCAATACATATTACATAGTGTGTACATGTAACTCTCCATTCACACATATGTTACATATTGTGTACGTTGTAACCCAACATTAGCGCATATGTTACATAGTGTACATATGTTACCCTTACAGCAACACATTTTATATAGTGTACACTTGCTATCCCTACATCAACACATATGTTACATGGTGTACATGTGTTACCCTTACAACAACAAATATGTTACATTGTGTACAAGTGTTGCCCAACATTAGCACATTTGTTACTTAAGGATTGACTGTTTATTCATACCTCAATGAATCGAAACAAATACACAGTGAATGCTTATAATTAAATTCGACAACCTAAAACATAATGTGCACGTGTTTCCCTACATGAACACATGTTACATAGTGTGCACGTGTTACCCTCCATTAACACATATGTTACATAGTGTGCACGTATAACCCCTGCATCAACACATATGTTACATGTTGTACATGTGGTGCCCAAAATTTGCACATTTGTTACATAGTTACCTGTTACCTAACATTAACAATTAATTGTATAGTGTACACGTGTTACCCTTCATCAACATATGTTACATATTGTGTACATGTAACCCTACATCAACACAGATGTTACATATTGTAAACGTGCTAACCCAACATCTACACGTTACATAATGTGCACGTTTTACCCTACATGAACACATGTTACATAGTGTGCACGTGTTACCCTACATCAACACATATGTTACATAGTGTAAACGTGCTATCCCAACATCTACACGTTACATAATGTGCACGTTTTACCCTACATGAACACATGTTACATAGTGTGCACGTGTTACCCTACATCAACACATATGTTACATAGTGTAAACGTGCTATCCCAACATCAACATATCTGTTACCCTTGCCTCAACACATATTGTACACGTGTTGCCCTTACATCAACACATATTGTACACGTTTAACCCCACATCAATGCATTTTGTACACGTGTTACCCTTACATCAACACATATTGTACACGTGTTACCCTTACATCAACACATATTGTACACGTGTTACCCTTACATCAACACATATTGTACACGTTTAACCCCACATCAATGCATTTTGTACACGTGTTACCCTTACATCAACACATATTGTACACGTGTTACCCTTACATCAACACATTTTGTACACGTTTAACCCCACATCAATGCATTTTGTACACGTGTTACCCTTACATCAACACATATTGTACATGTGTTACCCTTACATCAATACATTTTGTACACGTGTTGCCTTACATCAACACATATTGTACACGTGTTACCCCTTACATCAACACAAATTGTACACGTGTTACTCTTACATCAACACAGACTGTACACGTGTTACTCTTTCATCAACACATATTGTACACGTGTTACACTTACATCAACACATATTGTATACGTGTTACCCGTGCTTCAACAATATGTTACACATTGTAAACGTGTTATTTAGCATCAACAACCTGTTTACCCGTGTGAATCCGTTCATCAAAGCATGCTGTAAATATTGTACGTATGTTCCCCCTATATCAACACCTTCGTGTGGATCCCCTGGTATAAGTTACATTAACATTAACAATTAATTATATAGTGTACACGTGTTACCCTTCATCAACATATGTTACATGGTGTGCACGTGTGACCCCACATCAACACAGATGTTACATATTGTAAACGTGCTAACCCAACATCTACACGTTACATAATGTGCACGTTTTACCCTACATGAACACATGTTACATAGTGTGCATGTGTTACCCGATATCAAAACACATGTTACATACTGTAACGTGCTATCGCTACATCAACACAATTTACATAGTGTGCACATGTTACCCTACATCAACACATATGTTACATAGTGTAAACGTGCTATCCCAACATCAACAAATCTGTTACCCTTGCCTCAACACATATTGTACACGTGTTGCCCTTACATCAACACATATTGTACACGTGTTGCCCTTACATCAACACATTTTGTACACGTTTAAACCCCACATCAATACATTTTGTACACGTGTTACCCTTACATCAACACATATTGTACACGTGTTACCCTTACATCAACACATATTGTACACGTGTTACCCTTACATCAACACATATTGTACACGTTTAACCCCACATCAATGCATTTTGTACACGTGTTACCCTTACATCAACACATATTGTACATGTGTTACCCTTACATCAATACATTTTGTACACGTGTTGCCTTACATCAACACATATTGTACACGTGTTACCCCTTACATCAACACAAATTGTACACGTGTTACTCTTACATCAACACAGATTGTACACGTGTATAGGACGCAAGATGCGACTTTGTGGATCGGGCTGGTCAGACTCGGTGACGTCGTTGATGTCGTGTTAATTTGCCCCGACAACGCGGGTCGCTGCATGTAATATCAGTCACTGGATTGTCCAGACCAGACACGAATATTTACTGACCGCCGTCATAATCTGGAACAAAGCTGAGTGCGGCGTTAAAATACAAACAAACAGCCGGTGTTGGTGAGGTAAATATTACTTGGGTGAAACCAACGAGCAGGGATATTATGTGGATAAACATAATTAGGCCGAATCTGATATTCAAAGACCGATGGCTCCTAGCACGCATAAGGAACGCCCCACCTGTTACACAACACGAATGTTATACAGTAACGTTTATAACGAACACGGTTATAACGAACTGATGGATATAACGAACTTTTTTTTTGTCCCGGCCATTTGCTGTATATATGATGAATATTTGCATATTGTACATCAGAACTGGTTGTTAATTGTAATCAGCCGGTGGTTTCTGCTGCACACATTGTGTACTGTATCATGTCACATTTTCTCTGTATTTTGTCACATATTGTAAATGTCCACGTTTAGGTGTTAGTTGGTGAGGTGAGGTGAAATGGGGTTTAACGTCGCCTCCGAGATTATTACACTTATATAGCAACGTGCATGCACGTGTGTGTGTGGCAGCTTGTACTAGTCCGGACTAATGTCGATTTAAAGTGCTGGCACACTGAAATACCATGCCGCAGTTTAACATGAATACCCCACTCAGACACAGTATAATGACTCTGAACAGACCGGTCCTTGTTTCAGCCCCTTAATGCCGAGCTCCAGACAGGGTAACAACAAGTACCATATGTTAACGTCTTTTGGTGTGACGCGGGATCGAACCCCGGATCTTCCATTCTCCAAGCGAACGCTCTACCACAAGACCATGGAGGCGGTCCTGTAGGTGTTCGTAATTTAACATTTTGATGAAAGCTTCGTGCAGTTGTGATATGATGATTTAACATTATCTCCGCAAACCCACGAGTAGCTGAGCCTGTGTTAGAGTTCTACTTCGATGTAT